TTATGGTTTTTATATAAACTGATTTGCAAGAGATGCTCTAGATACACTTTAAATTAAAAAAAAAGGAACATCTCTTTTAATCTATTATATGTAGCTAACAAAATACTTAAGTACTTGAAATTCCAAGGGAGATCATTTGAAATACTTCCAAGGGGAGGTAATCTGTAATTACAACACACTTATCATTAATAACATACCATTAATAACATTGAGCAGGTTTTGAAATAGTTCTAACAAAAATATATTTATTGAAATACTGATTGTTTGAATACTCTCATTGAATCTTTACAATATCTGTTACTGTTAAAAAATCTTTACCTTGGTCTATGATTATAGAGGCAATAACCATTACCTTGGTCTATGATTATAGAGGTAATAACCTTTACCTTGGTCTATGATTATAGAGGCAATAACCTTTACCTTGGTCTATGATTATAGAAGCAATAACCTTTACCTTGGTCTATGATTATAGAGGCAATAACCATTACCTTGGTCTATGATTATAGAGGCAATAATCTTTACCTTGGTCTATGATTATAGAGGCAAAGAGGTTTAGACTTAAATTTACTGCTTTAGTGAGTCCCTGATTACTTTTATTGTTTCCAAATTTTATAACCAGATTCTTTGTTTAGAAACCAAATTAGTCATCTGATGTAATTTTCTGTTGAGCCTTTACAAGGACATACAAGGCCTTTCTTAATCACTACAATGGCATATGCTGATAATTCTCATGATTAATTTTTTGTAAATCTTTTGTACACCAAAAATAAATAGCAGAGATTGAGAGTTGTCTACCCTTTAATGATAGAATATGATTTATAAGGTATAAATGCCTGACTTCATTTATTACAATCAAATACCCTATAATATTTTGAAATAAATATTATACCCAGAAATATTAAACATATTCCTCAAAGATGACCCTGAAGTTAATTTATAGAACATGAAGTCATTCTAACCTAATTTGAGATTCAGGGATATAAACTGGCAAATTTGATTTTTTGTTGCATTTGTTTAGTACATAATGCTTTGTATAATAATGTTGGTAAATAAAATAAAAATCTCAAAAATACGGCTAGGTTGTTTACTAGATCATACACTCTGCCTTGTAGTTAAGTAAACATTTCCAGACATCGGTTACACGTCAGTCTAGGAAATACACAAACGGTTCAACAAAATACCTCTAGTATACATACAGCATACTGGGAGATTTCTGCTATAGTTAATATTTTGCCTTTTTCACCCTCTCTTATGATGGAGATTTTCTCATTACAGAGAATGTAAGTAAACAGCTCAATAAACATAGTAATCAAATGTGAAGGTCGAAAATTGATTTCATGGGCGAAGGGTGAACATTTGACTGGGCGCCAAATCTCCTGTATACAGTATTCCACAGGTTTACAGGCAATACCTAGCTTTACTGTACTATATATCTCCTGTATACAGTATTCCACAGGTTTACAGGCAATACCTAGCTTTACTGTACTATATATCTCCTGTATACAGTATTCCACAGGTTTACAGGCAATACCTAGCTTTACTGTACTATATATCTCCTGTATACAGTATTCCACAGGTTTACAGGCAATACCTAGCTTTACTGTACTATATATCTCCTGTATACAGTATTCCACAGGTTTACAGGCAATACCTAGCTTTACTGTACTATATATCTCCTGTATACAGTATTCCACAGGTTTACAGGCAATACCTAGCTTTACTGTACTATATATCTCCTGTATACAGTATTCCACAGGTTTACAGGCAATACCTAGCTTTACTGTACTATATATCTCCTGTATACAGTATTCCACAGGTTTACAGGCAATACCTAGCTTTACTGTACTATATATCTCCTGTATACAGTATTCCACAGGTTTACAGGCAATACCTAGCTTTACTGTACTATATATCTCCTGTATACAGTATTCCACAGGTTTACAGGCAATACCTAGCTTTACTGTACTATATATCTCCTGTATACAGTATTCCACAGGTTTACAGGCAATACCTAGCTTTACTGTACTATATATCTCCTGTATACAGTATTCCACAGGTTTACAGGCAATACCTAGCTTTACTGTACTATATATCTCCTGTATACAGTATTCCACAGGTTTACAGGCAATACCTAGCTTTACTGTACTATATATCTCCTGTATACAGTATTCCACAGGTTTACAGGCAATACCTAGCTTTACTGTACTATATATCTCCTGTATACAGTATTCCACAGGTTTACAGGCAATACCTAGCTTTACTGTACTATATATCTCCTGTATACAGTATTCCACAGGTTTACAGGCAATACCTAGCTTTACTGTACTATATATCTCCTGTATACAGTATTCCACAGGTTTACAGGCAATACCTAGCTTTACTGTACTATATATCTCCTGTATACAGTATTCCACAGGTTTACAGGCAATACCTAGCTTTACTGTACTATATATCTCCTGTATACAGTATTCCACAGGTTTACAGGCAATACCTAGCTTTACTGTACTATATATCTCCTGTATACAGTATTCCACAGGTTTACAGGCAATACCTAGCTTTACTGTACTATATATCTCCTGTATACAGTATTCCACAGGTTTACAGGCAATACCTAGCTTTACTGTACTATATATCTCCTGTATACAGTATTCCACAGGTTTACAGGCAATACCTAGCTTTACTGTACTATATATCTCCTGTATACAGTATTCCACAGGTTTACAGGCAATACCTAGCTTTACTGTACTATATATCTCCTGTATACAGTATTCCACAGGTTTACAGGCAAAACCTAGCTTTACTGTACTATATATCTCCTGTATACAGTATTCCACAGGTTTACAGGCAAAACCTAGCTTTACTGTACTATATATCTCCTGTATACAGTATTCCACAAGTTTACAGGCAATACCTAGCTTTACTGTACTGTAATATTGGAAAGTTTTTTGCAACCTAAATTTATCCGCGATGTGATATTTACTGGAGTCTGGCATGAAAATGATTCACATAGAAACATATTGATACACAGTGTCTATAAGTACTGTACAACAAGAAGTGTCCGTGTGTACTTTCTTTCGTGGTTGGAACTTTCAAATTATTTCCTGGGTACAAAATGTAGCCTATACAACGAAATATTCTGTCTTTGCGTATTGCAGAGTTATCTGCTCTTGTGAGCAGGTATTGATTGTTACGTCATTGGTTTGTGTGAGAAAATTACGTCATTTTCTCTCAAAAAATGATGACGTTACTCTAACAATCAAATGATGTAATAATCAATACCTGCTCACAAGAGCAGTTAACTCTGCAATACGCAAAGATGGAATATCCACTATTCCAAGAATTTATATTCGTGGTTCCTTAGCAACAGTGAAAACAATGAAAGTTTATACACAGCGAACATTTCATGTTATAAAGTATATAAAATTCAGTTTTGGCCATTCCTTCAATGGTAGACTTTTTTCAGGTTATATCATATAACCTAAAATACAGACAACACAGAAAGTGATGACATATATATGTATTGTATACCGCAATGCTTGACGTGCTATTTGTAACTCTAACTTCTGATTGGTTGAAGTTGCTTGGCAATGATATTACTGTGATCATTTTTGAGGTTATACAGTTTATACTGAAAAAAAACCTGTGTGCACTTTAACGCATAAATTTGCAAAGTGCACACTGTTTTTTTTGGTATATCCTGTACAACCCCAAAATAATTCTGGTCATACAATACATATATACATAACTTATTGACACATTGTATTATATATGTATTAACACATTATATATATATAATAACTTATTAACACATTGTATCATATATGTATTACACATTATATATATATACATAACTTATTGACACATTGTATTATATATGTATTAACACATTATATATATATATAATAACTTATTAACACATTGTATCATATATGTATTACACATTATATATATATACATAACATGTTATCAAAATATGTATATTATATAGAATATATTGAAACACTATGATATTCATTCTAATGAAAATACTGTATTTAACTCATTCACCCCTGAAATTTTATAATGAACTATTCCGACCTATGAATTGGAAGAGTTCAGATGTGTCTTCAGGGGTATATGAGTTAAATACCTACACAAACTGTATCACTCTGCACATAGTTGGAGTTAAAATGCAGAAATTTTCAACTGCAAACATTTCCAATTTTACAGTACATTGTATAAGGTTACAGTGTTATACAGTAAGCGTTTGCTATAAGCGATTCAAGTTTACATCAGTAAGCTATAATTAGCTCTCATTACCTAAAGCTAAACCCATATTTACATCACATTAATGCTACACACTGTCAGCCACTTCTTTGTGTACCTGTCGACTTTTATCAGCCAGACTCAGAAAGTTCAGAAATCTTCAGAGTACACGTAGGAACCTTGATGGTCCGGTCTTTATCGTTTGTGTTTAAGCTTTTCTCTGACTGATTTTGTTTCCGTTCAGCTCTATTTCATTTTTGTGTTAATCGTAAACCATGAAATTTTGTCACAGTTTAACTTTCGAGTATTTTCGCCCTTCAAAGAGAGGGCGATTTTATCACGGCAGAGAATACCTGGTATTAATGAACAGCATACTCTATAAAGACATTACATGGGAAGGGCAAAAATAGCACTGTGGGTAGATGGATTTTACTAGGGCTACATTCGCGTATCCCGGTTTAAACGGTACGTGTGGCGCAGAAATTTTCCACGATAAACGAACACACTTGGACCGTTCTATAAGCAGAGCTAAAAATCCACAGATTCGGAGAATAAAAAACAGTGTTTCAAGAATATTATGACCTTCTTTCATCCGTCCACTGAATTAACATAACGTAACTTAAAAACTACATGTGACTTGACATTGTTTTAGAAAGAAATAACGCAAATTGGCAATAGTCAGCATTTTAGTTTCGGTCAGGCACGTCTGGACCCCTCAATCTAAACGTGCCAAATTTTCCTGAGGTCAGCCTCAGTCCAAATATGTACCTGTCATTTTCTTTACATGTTCAACCGGTTCAACCGTTTCAACCGGTAACGCGAATGTACCCTAGAGAAGGGTGAAACTTGGGTTTGGCAATAGTTCCCCAGTCTGCAGTATTTTCCTGTAACTATTGTGTCCAAACTAAAGAGGTTCCACTGTACACACAAACCAAAGTGTCTAGATTACCAAGGTTCTACAGTAAATAAAAAAAATAAAAAAGTGTCCAGACTGACAAGGTTCCATTCCATGCCAAAAGCAAATATTCAGACTACCGGGGGTCATAGAAACCAAAATGCCCTGACAAAGCAGATTCTACTGAACACAGATGTCGTCGATCTCACGGATTCATATCTAAGTTCACACCTATTGGTATTTACACAAACATACAATATCAATTTAAAAGGACCACCAGTCTCTCTCAAACCCTTCTGAATCATCGGTGCGGCGCCGATCTCTTGTTTCCACACAATCCTTGGTGCAGCACCAATCTCGTAAAACCACACCATCCTCGGAGCGACTCCAATCATTCATAACAACACAATCGCAGTCTACAAACACCAATCTCTTGAAACCACACCATCCTTGAAGGGACTCCAATCATTCGTAACAACACAATCACAGTCTACAAACACCAATCTCTTGAAACCACACCATCCTCGAAGCGACTCCAATCACTCGTAACAACACAATCACAGTCTACGAACACCAATCTCTTGAAACCACACCATCCTCGGAGCGACTCCACTTAATTCACTGAACACTTTTTCTTTGCTGATCCACACGAATTCAGAAACAAATCCACACTAATCCACAAATCACAGCCAATACTAAGATATCGGTAACTTTGTACAAACACATGTTAAACGTCTGCATCCTAACAAGGACTTGATATTCCACCAAATGAAGTTCAGGCCAGTTCTAGAACTTTATATGGCAAGTTTTGACAGAAAGTTCTCAAAAACTGCATAACTCTGTTTCAAAAACAGCACACAAGTCTTTCTTCAGTGTCCGTAAAACTGATATTTTACACAAAATTCATCACCCATTTTCTCAGGAAAGTACCAGTAGCTTTGCTATGATTGACCAGGGCCGTTTTCGTTTAAACGGTCAAACCGGTCGGACCTCTGTTGTTTGTTTATTAAATAAGGTCGGACCTAGTAACCTGATGCTGCGTTCAGGCGAGGCTTGACAAAGCCTTGCAAGGACTGCATAAACATTTGCAGGTCCGCCAGGATTTATACCAGAAATTGTTACATTTATAAACGCTCAAACTGATTGTTCCGCATAAACAAACAGGCCCCAGGAGTCTGTAAGCTTATTTCCATTAGCATGGTTCAACCTGTACGTCCTGAAGGTCCTGTGACGGTAACACACCACAGGTTGTTCCTGGTACATCAAATGTACTACTAACAATGTGTATAGTGATCCAGGTAATTAGCTATAATGGCAAACAATCTTTATCTTCACCGATTGGTTCCAGTCAGAAAATGTCATCATTCCTGCTTGGTGATTGGTCAATATGAACGAACACTTTCATTGGTGGAACCAGTCATTGCTATAGCGACGTCTCGTTAGGAGCTGGTCGGGACTGTGACATCACTGTCTCCGATTCCTGCATAGCTAACTTCTTGCCGATCATTTGAATCTGATGGAGAGAATATAACATTATTACAATTATAAAATTTCATGTTTTCTACTTAAAAACTGTTCATTATTAAAATCACATCATTGGGAGGTCAGATGGCACAGTGACAACAAATAACCAGTATTTACCTGTGCATCGTAGCGTTCTGTTAAGGCCGCCATCTGAAGCTCCATTCTTTTGAGCTTGCTCTGGTATTTCTTCTTAGATTTGTCAAAGGCTGATATCAAGGCACTAAAGGGTAAACAAACAGTTAACAGTATAATGCAGTTTAATGTCTAACAGTATAATGTCTAACAGTATAATGTCATCAACAGAACTGTTATGTACAGAAGTTTCATACATAGAAAATAATTCTGACAGGTTTATTATCATTATACGGTCAAAATGTTTTGTCCAAACAAAAACAATGTTATGAAAAGTTGTTTTTTGTGTCAGTGATTGACTATCTACTGACCTGTTTGCCCGTTTTAAATCATTCACAAAGTCGGCTGACTGTTGATGCCGAATTTCGGAATTTCTTGACAATTTCTCGAGTGTGACAACCAATTCTTGGACACGGGCCTTTAACTTCTTTTCACGCTTGGCTGCTTCAGATAATTCTTTCCCCAAATCCGGATTGCTGGACATGTAATCCACCAATGAAAAGCCTGCATTGTCTTCATCCTAAAAATAGCAAATATTTGAAGTGCTAATTAAAGTTTCTGAAGCAGATAGCATCAGTACAGTATCTAGATTAAGACTGTCTGTGGTTGTCTAGGTAACACCTATCTGTAGTTGTCTAGGTAACACCTATCTGTAATTGTCTAGGTAACACCTATATGTGGGTGTCTAGGTAACACCTACTTGTGGTTTTCTAGGTTACACCTATCTGTAGATGTCTAGGTAACACCTCCCTGTGGTTGTCTAGATAACACCTATCTGTAATTGTCTAGGTAACACCTGGCTGTGGTTGCCTAGGTAACACCTACCTGTGGGTGTCTAGGTAACACCTGGCTGTGGTTGCCTAGGTAACACCTATATGTGGGTGTCTAGGTAACACCCATCTGTAGTTGTCTAGGTAGCACCTACCTGTGGTTGTCCAGGTTACACCTATCTGTAGATGTCTAGGTAACACCTGGCTGTGGTTGCCTAGGTAACACCTAGACAACAACAGATAGGTGTGACCTAGGCAACCACAGCCAGGTGTTACCTAGACAACAACAGATAGGTGTGACCTAGGCAACCACAGATAGGTGTTCCCTAGACAACCACAGAAAGTCTTAATCTAGATTAAGACTGGCTGTGGTTGTCTAGGTTACACCTATCTGTGGTTGTCTAGGTAACACATATCTGTGGTTGTCTAGGTAACACCTGTCTGTGGTTGCCTAGGTAACACCTATCTGTTGTTGTCTAGGTAACACCTACCTGTGGTTGTCTAGATAACACCTATTTGTGGTTGTCTAGGTAACACCTATCTGTAGTTGTCTAGGTAACACATATCTGTGGTTGTCTTGGTAACACCTATCTGTGGTTGTCTAGGTAACACCTACCTGTGGTTGTCTAGGTAACACCTACCTGTAGTTGTCTAGGTAACACCCGTCTGTGGTTGTCTAGGTAACACCTATCTGAGGTTGTCTAGGTAACACCTATCTGTGGTTGTCTAGGTAATACCTACTTGTGGTTGTCAAGGTTACACCTACCTGTGGTTGTCTAGGTAACACCTACTTGTGGTTGTCAAGGTTACACCTACCTTTGGGAGTCTGGGTAACATTTACCTGTTGTTGTCTAGGTTACACCTACCTGTGGTTGTCAAGGTTACACCTACCTTTGGTTGTCTAGGTTATACCTACTTGTGGTTGTCAAGGTTACACCTACCTTTGGTTGTCTAGGTTATACCTACTTGTGGTTGTCAAGGTTACACCTACCTTTGGTTGTCTAGGTTACACCTACTTGTGGTTGTCAAGGTTACACCTACCTTTGGTTGTCTAGGTAACACCTACTTGTGGTTGTCAAGGTTACACCTACCTTTGGGAGTCTAGCCTCTCTCTCCTGTAGTTCACACTTGAGGTGTTCTATCTGTAAAAAGTTTGCCTGTTGCTCTGAATCCCGGCTCGACAGTTTTAATTCTAAAGCACGTTTTTCCTTCTCCAGTAAGTAATTACTTGACTTCAGTTCTGTCTTTTCTTCCTGTAAAACATGAACATAGACTTTAGCAGGGGTCAATATATGAGTATATCATCATAAGAAAAACAGTTTTATTTGCTCTTTGGTTGTTTGAGGTTGATATATCCCCCAGCCATCCTCCAGGACATCAGGGTGACCATACAGACAGGGATTACACTGTACACAGGTAAAGTGTGCCACTCCACTCTAGTTCCCAGACTGTACACACAAACCAAACGATCTGAACAGGACATACTCGCCTTCATAGCCATCAGTTCTTGCAATAACACAGCATTTTCCAGGTCAAGTCGCTGAGTCTCCACACTGCGCTGATTTTCTTGGATCTGAGGTTCCAAATGGATACTCTCCATCTCTATGATGGTGGACTTGACCGTCCCCCGACTGTTTTTAAGGCACTGGATGTACTCACGGATTCGCTGCTCATCATTTTTATCAAAATCACTTTCCATAGCAGCACTCCCCTTGGAACTTGATTCACTGAAACAAACAACAATTTCAACACACATAATCTTGCAAATTAAAGCAATCTGCATTGAAAATTCAATCATTTCAGCAATCTGCATTGAAAATTCAATCATTTCAGTACTAAAGAAAACATTCTGTGGGACCCAGACGGACTAGATCGGCATAGCTTTCGTAAATGTTTATATTTCCTCACTTTGACTTTTCAGTTTATCTTCATACACAGATGTCTGCCACCCTGGTATTCAAACATTTGACAATGATGAAATAAAAACAATTATATTCTGGGATTCACAATCAGGAAAATATGTAATACATCTCTTTTTTTTTTTTTTTTTTTTTTTTTTTTATTTTATCTAAAGTATCATGAGGTTTGATACAAAAGTAAAAAAGAAGAAAAGATATATTGAAAGCTGTCTATAGTGACAACTCAGGGGAGTAGATTAAAATGGCCATGATATACAGGTCAGTGTTTAAACAAAGGGTGGTCAGGCAGGTCGGACAGGGATCCTTAAACTACTGTGGAACTTTCTAGTGTTTTGTCTACAGTAGGACAGGGATCCTTAAACTACAGTGGAACTCTCTAGTGTTTTGTCTACAGTGGGACAGGGATCCTTAAACTACAGTGGAACTACAGTATCTAGTGTTTTGTCTACAGTGGGACAGGGATCCTTAAACTACAGTGGTACTATCTAGTGTTTTGTCTACAGTGGGACAGGGATCCTTAAACTACAGTGGAACTATTTAGTGTTTTGTCTACAGTGGGACAGAGATCCTCAAACTACAGTGGAACTCTCTAGTGTTTTGCCTGCAGGGAGATAGGGATCCTTTACCTGGACATCTCCTCCCAGGGGTTTGTGTTAGAGGCATGTGCCCCACTGTAGATTCCTACATTCCTGTCCAGCTTCAGCAGCAGATGTGCTACCATGCTCTCTGCCGTCCGTCGACTTTGAGCGACTCGCTGGGCCATGACCTCCATCTGACTGGCATCTCTCTGTGTTCCATCAGCTGTGATACAGCAAGGTCAACAAACTTTAATATTATTGTCAACAATGGTCAAGGTTATGACAAGGTCAAAATAAATTTCATTAATCTGGCATAAGTCCAGAAAACTGATAATATTCCTATGTATGTTAATCTAACTTTGTGACTGACTACATTCCGCCATAAACCCATCTTGGTATTTTGGTGCCTGACACGCAAAGGAAGGTCATTTTATTGCAGTTGTAAACATGTACAATTCCGAGATACTGACTTTGAAATCCAAAATGAGGCTCGCTATATTTTTTTATTATGACATCATAGATGTAACATTAATCCACTGTTTGTTCACATTTTGTACAAGAGTTGCTAGTGAGAATACATCTATACCTAGCTGAGGTCAGGTCACAAGGAGTAGCTGGTCTTGGTTTTTACCATACAGACGTATGCAAGAGTAAACTGTTTGATGCTATGTCAAGGTCAACTGTCATTAATGTGATAACAAAGTGAACAGGACCCAGATTCCTGAAACTGTTCTCATGTTTTACACAGATTCCGTGTTCAAGCTTAGTTTCTTGTTCCGGTGAGGCATTAATGATAACAATCACATTTTGTTGATGACTTGGAAGAATTTAGGAGAAACTTAAAACTGAATACCAGTTCCAAATTTCACACTAGACTTTTTGACCTTGTCACATGATTAGCGTGTTATACTAAATTTTGTTTGCAAAATCCATGCTTGAGCATGAGAAAAGTTTCCTGAATATTGACCAAGAGGTCAATCTTTTAAAACAAGGTCAACAAGGCCAATACTTTGGTATCGCACATGACCTTGACATTAAAATTGTATGACCTTGACCTATGATACTCACTTTGACCAGTTAATCCAGCAGCCTGACAGTTACAAAGGACAACAGCTAGCTCGCTCTCCACCAGGCCGAGTAAGACGTCATACGCCTCCATCGTCTGGTCCGAGTATCCCACTGCCAGCTGTAATGCTGTGTGATTAGACTCGTATTTACCCATCAGCACCGTCAGACGATCTGTCATGGACTTACTCTCCTCCAGCGTGAGCAACAACAGGTCATTCTGAGACTTCAAATTGTCTATTTTACTCTGTAGTCTTTCAAATTCTAATTCAAACTCGTTGAGTTTATTGTCGGACATTTCGTTTCCGCACTTATACAGTGTCTGTAGAATCTCCTGCATGTTAGAACACTCCTGTAGGCTCTGTACCAGGTGTTCCGCCACCTTGGTGTTGGGTAACTGAAATGTTACAGTAAATTACAATAATTATCAACACTGATTAGATCTTAACTCTAATGATTACTGTAGAATCATTTATTTTCGTGGGGTTAAAATTTCGTGGTTTTCATATACTAGCCTGTTTCAAGGACATTAAATTTCGCTGATGTTTTTGTTGGGATTTAATTTCGTGGATTTTTGTTGTCCACGAAATGAACGAAATTTAATGTTCCACAAAAGATTTATGATTTTACAGTATTAGCTTTGTTAACTGAAATGTGCCTTGAATTGTTTTTACCATTTAAAGGGCGAAATTAACACATGGCTAATATAGATTTTATCGGTGAAGGGCGAAAGTTTCCATGTATACAGTATTTCTCTTACCTTTAACTCATTCATCCCTGAAGACACTTTTGAACTTTTCCAATTTACAGGTTGGAATAGTTCAATATGAAATTGCAGGGGTGAATGAGTTAAAGGTTAGAGAAATACTGTATACCAGGAAACTGTCACACAGTGAAACTTTCGCCCTTCACGATAAAATCTATATTAGCCCTATGTTAATCTCGCCCTTTAAATGTGATTACTATACACGGTATATTGTGTACTTATATTCGCTGCCGTGATAATTTTGTCCTCATTACGGAGGGCAAAAAAAGGCGAAAGTTAAACTGTGGAGAAAATTACCCGACATACAGTAGGAACTGACCCTACTCATCTGTTAAAACCAATATAGAGTAGGAACTGACCCTACTCATCTGTTACAACCAATACAGAGTAGGAACTGCCCCTACTCATCTGTTACAACCAATACAGAGTAGGCACTGACCCTACTGATCTGTTACAACCAATATAGACTAGGAACTGACCCTAATCATCTGTTACAACCAATATAGAGTAGGAACCGACCCTACTCATCAGTTACAACCAATATAGAGTAGGAACTGACCCTACTTATCTGTTACAACCAATATAGAGTAGGAACTGACCCTCCTCATCTGTTACAACCAACATAGAGTAGGAACTGACCATACTCATCTGTTACAACCAATATAGAATAGGAACTGACCCTACTCATCTGTTACAACCAACATAGACTAGGAACTGACCCTACTCATCTGTTAAAACCAATATAGAGTAGCAACTGACCCTACTCATCTGTTACAACCAATATAGAGGAGGAACTGACCCTACTCATCTGTTACAACCAATATAGAGGAGGAACTGACCCTACTCATCTGTTACAACCAACATAGACTAGGAACTGACCCTACTCATCTGTTAAAACCAATATAGAGTAGCAACTGACCCTACTCATCTGTTACAACCAATATAGAGTAGTAACTGACCCTACTCATCTGTTACAACCAATACAGAGTAGGAGCTGACCCTACTCATCTGTTACAACCAACATAGACTAGGAACTGACCCTACTCATCTGTTAAAACCAATATAGAGTAGGAACCGACCCTACTCATCTGTTACAACCAATATAGAGTATATTGTGTACTTATATTCGCTGCCGTGATAATTTTGTCCTCATTACGGAGGGCAAAAAAAGGCGAAAGTTAAACTGTGGAGAAAATTCCCCGACATACAGTAGGAACTGACCCTACTCATCTGTTAAAACCAATATAGAGTAGCAACTGACCCTACTCATCTGTTACAACCAATATAGAGTAGGAACTGACTCTACTCATCTGTTACAACCAATATAGAGTAGGAGCTGACCCTACTTATCTGTTACAACCAATATAGAGTAGGAACTGACTCTACTCATCTGTTACAACCAATATAGAGTAGGAGCTGACCCTACTTATCTGTTACAACCAATATAGAGTAGGAACTGACCATACTCATCTGTTACAACCAATATAGAATAGGAACTGACCCTACTCATCTGTTACAACCAATACAGAGTAGGAGCTGACCCTACTCATCTGTTACAACCAACATAGACTAGGAACTGACCCTACTCATCTGTTAAAACCAATATAGAGTAGCAACTGACCCTACTCATCTGTTACAACCAATATAGAGAAGGAACAGACCCTACTCATCTGTTACAACCAATATAGAGTAGGAACTGACCCTCCTCATCTGTTACAACCAATATAGACTAGGAACTGACCCTAATCATCTGTTACAACCAATACAGAGTAGGAACTGCCCCTACTCATCTGTTACAACCAACATAGAGTAGGAACCGACCCTACTCATCTGTTACAACCAATATAGAGTAGAAACTGACCCTACTCATCTGTTACAACCAATATAGAGAAGGAACAGACCCTACTCATCTGTTACAACCAATATAGAGTAGAAACTGACCCTACTCATCTGTTACAACCAATATACAGTAGGAACCGACCCTCCTCATCTGTTACAACCAATATAGAGTAGGAACTGACCCTACTTATCTGTTACAACCAATATAGAGTAGGAACTGACCCTCCTCATCTGTTACAACCAATATAGAGTAGGAACCGACCCTACTCATCAGTTACAACCAATATAGAGTAGGAACTGACCCTACTTATCTGTTACAACCAATATAGAGTAGGAACTGACTCTACTCATCTGTTACAACCAATATAGAGTAGGAGCTGACCCTACTTATCTGTTACAACCAATATAGAGTAGGAACTGACCCTACTTATCTGTTACAACCAATATAGAGTAGGAACTGACCCTCCTCATCTGTTACAACCAATATAGAGTAGGAACTGACTCTACTCATCTGTTACAACCAATATAGAGTAGGAGCTGACCCTACTTATCTGTTACAACCAATATAGAGTAGGAAGTGACCCTACTCATCTGTTACAACCAATATAGAGTAGGAAGTGACCCTACTCATCTGTTACAACCAATATAGAGAAGGAACAGACCCTACTCATCTGTTACAACCAATATAGAGTAGGAAGTGACCCTACTCATCTGTTACAACCAATATAGAGAAGGAACTGACCCTACTCATCTGTTACAAACAATATACAGTAGGAACTGACCCTACTCATCTGTTACAACCAACATAGACTAGGAACTGACCCTACTCATCTGTTAAAACCAATATAGAGTAGCAACTGACCCTACTCATCTGTTACAACCAATATAGAGTAGAAACTGACCCTACTCATCTGTTACAACCAATATATGGTAGGAACTGACCCTACTCATCTGTTACAACCAGTATAGAGTAGGAACCGACCCTACTCATCTGTTACAAACAATATAGAGTAGGAACTGACCCTACTCATCTGTTACAACCAATATAGGGTAGGAACTGACCCTACTCATCTGTTACAACCAGTATAGAGTAGGAACCGACCCTACTCATCTGTTACAACCAATCAAAAACAATCTCTATTCATCACTGCAGAGCTAACCTCATCAAAACTTATCAAAATAACTCTGTGCTCCCTCATATAATTTTGACCAATCAAAGACAGTCTTAATTCACTGCTGCTGAGTTAGAATGTACCCCTTTATCTATTTTGACCAATCAATGATCACTAATCTTTTGAGTTTGCTTCCTGGTCAAATTTGAAATATCAATGACGATTTTCACTCACCCCTGCAGAGCTAATCTCCGCCCCTAAAATCTGGCGCTCACTAGCACAGGTTTTTAGTTTCTTTAGCTCAGCAACCTTGGCAACAGGGAATGACTCATTTGTGGAGGAAGCAGGCGTTGACCTGGAAACAAGAAATGAAAAAATAACATTGTACTGTAAATAATTTATTTGTGTTTTAACTCTTTCCATACTACAACTTGAATGTGGTTACAAGGCTCACCTATCAAAAGCTTTCTTCTCAACTGTTGGGTTCCAATTTTAGCGATAATTAATTAGATCACATTACTGTCTTGTTCTATAAACAGCTAATCAGGAGACAGGTAATACCAGTGTCTTTTGCTATCTGTACACGACAATGGCACAGAAAGAGTAAATGGAAAAGAATATATGAAGATTTTCGAGAGAACGCGCTTCAGGAAGTTTACATTTCATGATGCTGAGTTTTGCAAGTTTATCTTTGGAACAAGTTTAAACTATCAAGATTTCACGCTGTAACAAAGAACTTCAAAATGATTCAGGAGTTTGAATATATGTTTATCAAAGGAATGTAAAAATAAATGAGCACTTTCCTTCTAATGCTACAGATCAAAAAGTGCTTTAAAATATTTACCTGTTCTGAATAATGACCAAAGTGTAAAGGTTTGGTCACTTTACAACAAGGCAACTTCTTTGTGGGTGTGACAGGGATTGACTTACCTGTCTCTACTGGGGGTAAGGTGTGGAGGTTTTGTGGGTGTGTCAGGGATTGACTTACCTGTCTCCACTGGGGGTAAGGTGTGGAGGTTTTGTGGGTGTGTCAGGGATTGACTTACCTGTCTCCACTGGGGGTAAGGTGTGGAGGTTTTGTGGGTGTGTCAGGGATTGACTTACCTGTCTCCACTGGGGGTAAGGTGTGGAGGTTTTGTGGGTGTGTCAGGGATTGACTTACCTGTCTCCACTGGGGGTAAGGTGTGGAGGTTTTGTGGGTGTGTCAGGGATTGACTTACCTGTCTCCACTGGGGGTAAGGTGTGGAGGTTTTGTGGGTGTGTCAGGGATTGACTTACCTGTCTCCACTGGGGGTAAGGTGTGGAGGTTTTGTGGGTGTGTCAGGGATTGACTTACCTGTCTCCACTGGGGGTAAGGTGTGGAGGTTTTGTGGGTGTGTCAGGGATTGACTTACCTGTCTC